GATACACTAGTCTTTTCAATATATATAAGTTTTAAAGTTTGCTCCCACTTAGAATTGATGTGGATGCGATCTTAAAATTTCTTAAAGATGTTGAGTTTGGGGGAAGATAAAGTAAAGAACGTTGCATTTAAGAGAAATTTAGTTATTTCTCTTTATAACAACATTAGTAAAGAATAGTTATTTTCTTTATAACAACATTAGTAAAGATAGTAAAGATTTTCCTTATTTTAGTAAAACAAACTCAACATCATTAAAAATGTCATTAAAGTAAGTAGAAGAGATAGAAGAAATATGATTATAAAGATTTAAGTTTGATAAAAAAGAGTATATTCTCTACAGTCAAACAAAGCCTTATCTCTTAAAAGGAAAAATAAATGTCATAAAGAATGTGTTGAAACAACAAACAACGAAGATATTTTACAGTTTGTTATATTGCTTTTAAAAGGCAATGCTAACAAATATAGGGCTCATCTTGTTGTTATTGTTTCAATTCGTAAGACTGACATTAATTTTTAGAGATCTTTTCTATAGCTTCTCGAAAAGTTTTTTTAAGTAAATGACAATACCTATAACTTTTTTGAATTGTGTTAGATTAATATAAAAATTGATTCTCAATTGTATAATTTATGAAATCAATAAGTTTGTATATTTTGGAGACTTTTGATCTAATAACACAAAGTTTCAAAAGGTTTATATTCATCTGTGATCTTAATGAGGAATTTTTATTCTGTAATTTCATAAGTCTCATTACATATTGATATTATCATATGTAATATCGGAAGGTAATAAGGGTAATAATTATGAATTACAGGTTTAGTGGAGAACATAGTGTAATATGTCTGCGACATAATAAATGTCTCATTAGAAGATGAAAACTTACATGAACATATCTTTTTTATATTGTGAAATGATATTGTAAGATCAATTTCAAGTAACATTGAGAATTCACAAAAGAGTTATGTTGAAAGGTATTACAAGTTATCTGACATAAAAATTTATGCACTAAGCGATATTGAAATCACTAGTAGAGACAAGTTCAATAGAGGTCCCTTAAATAATAAAGTAAAATAAAAAAATTCATGCTTAAAGTCTATATGCTTTTGCTGCAATATTCATATCAATAATGAAAGGCAATTTTTTATAACTCTTATTTTGGATCTAAAGAGATATAAGGTGCTTAACAAAAAAGGTTACATGCTCACTCATCAAAATCAAATTATTTAGAAATCATAAGACTATTTGATTTTAATAATTTGAGTTGCCATCTAGATCCACATTTGAGGCTATATTCACAATAGGTTAAATGAAACTACTATCTCAATAGAGTGGTAGAGAGTTAGTTTAGTCCTTTTGATCACCATTGAAGTTTGTGTTCATAACATTTTGAGTGTGGCAACAAACTTAAGGATTATGGTTATAAAACCTTGTCATCAGGTTGTCTTGACATGAATTTGTTTTTTTGCATGTTATAGCAACAAAAGCTTTTGCATGAATATTTAAGCTTTAGTTGATAAAGAAAATTCAGAGTATTTTGGTGTCTAAAGAAATGTAACTCTATCATTGCGGATCCGCTCATTAAGGACTTTTACAGAATGTTTTACGAGCATAATGTTGATATAGATGTGAAAATTATGGTATGTTAGTTGAGTGGGAGTTTGTGATTTCTTAAATCAGACACGTGCTTTGATTTTTCTACCGAATAAAGAAGATGGATTATTTTGTTACTCTAAATGACTTTCTTTCTAATTATAGTTTGACATAAAGCTAGAAAGCATAAATTTTTATCTCTCTAAAGAATAAAGTTGGACCAGTTGAAAATAGACATGTTTAGATCACATTCCATATAATTCTCATGCTGTTCTTCCACACTTGACCCATGTCATTGAGTATATTTGGTGTGGTGATCATTGAAGGCTGAGTCGCAACTATACATGTGACAAAAGCCGCTTTGGTTCCTCATCGATATGCGAGATGGATCGGATTGTGATTAAAGGGAAGTTTATTTTAATAGCATTGAGTTGTGCACTAAATAATAAATTAATATAATTGCTAGTAAAGAAAATCGTTACCCAAGTGGGAGATTGTGGGAGTTAATTTTATAATTAATTCATATGTGGGTAACAAATTAAAGAGCAATTGTATGTGGGCTATTTAATGGGTAAGTGATCTTGATTATCGGCCCATAACTTTACATTTAGTGGTGTAGTTTGCTGAGGATAAATCAGCCCATTAATCTTAGGGGATTATGAGAAATCTAGGATTAACCTATAAATATATGGTTATGGTCCTCAATCCACTATGTTGCTTTGAGCCTCCTATTCCCCTTCATATAAAGAGAATTGTTCATATTTGATCCGGGTTGCATAGTTGAGGAAGAACACAAACCACAACTTCTTGTCGTTGTCGTCAATTTATCTCTAATGGTTCCAGATAATTCTAATATCTCTAAAGATTTTGATTTTCTTCCATGCTTAGATTCTTAGTCTTGATTGTTCTGAAATTTTATGGCTTTTATTCTAGAATAATTATGAATTAGGATTTATTTAATTTGTCGAACAATTCATTCTAAAATTATTCCTAAACAAGCCTAAATATAGGTTTCTAAGTTATTTTAGATCATTAAAGTTACTTTTTATAAAATCTACCACGTTTGGTAATAAATTAAAAGTATTTTTTAAAAATTTTGATTGTTTTAAAAATAATTTTTGAAACAAAGAATCGTAGATTTCAAATAACAAAAAGACGTACTTTTGTTGTTAAAGATTTCAATGACAAAGATTGCATATTAAAGGATAATATATGTTTTAGTATGTTTGAGGGTTTTTCTTTTTTAATTATTATTTTAGTCCCTATTATTTAAAAATTTTTAATTTTGTATCTTATATTTTAACCTTTTTTTTTTCTATTTTAGTACAATATTGATGGTGGATGATCAAACTCACAGCCTTTCGATCGAGATATATGTCAATTACTTAGTTCTTATATTTTAAGATTTATTTCAATTGTATCATTTTCATTGATAAATTTTGAAATTGACTAATAATAAACTTTGACGACAGGATACTAAATGATAATAAAAATTTTAAAGAAGAATTAAACCAATTAGAGAGGAAAAGTCAAATTTCTGCTGACCTTTTAAAAATATGAAAGTCGGAAAATCTTCCCATTAGATTATTTAGACAAATAAGAACTAAATTGAGAGAGACTATCAAACCTGAATATTCAGCCTACTAAAACTTGAATTAGATTAAACCAAACTCTAAAGCAAAATAAATACTTGGGACCAAAATTATATTTTAAATCTATTTTTAATCTAAAATTAGGCCATTCGCAATTACCTCTTCTTCCTTTTCTTTCCTTTTCCTTTTCTTTTAACTTTTGTGTAATCTCTATTTTTCTAAATAACATTTTAGAGCTCCATTCACAAATTCACTATTTTATGTCCAAACAGTACAATTTTTATTGCGCGATATTTAAAAAATAATAATAAATTTCTTACGACGTTATAAGAGTGATGTAACATGAGAGAATTACTAAGTAGGATGATGCAAGAGTTAATAGAACCAGTGTGGGAAATTTTTGTTTTGTTTTTTTTTTCAATTAATTAATATTCTTTTTTTTATGTCAGAAATATACCATGTTAAATTTCTATCATTGACAATCAACTTAAGCATAAGGAAAATTTTTTCTTGTCTACTCTTTATCGTCTATTATGTTTAACATCATTTAAAAATTATGTAAGCTCTAATAATATCAAAGAATTTTTATGAAAGCAAATTTAAGGATAACTAAAGGAAGTACTATAGAAGTACTAGAAATTTTCGTCTAGTTAGCATTATAGTCACTATAGTCACTACTGAAAATTGCAAGTTCAAATCTCTACTCTTTCTTCGATTTTAAGTAAAAAATAAAAAAGAGAGTTATCGATTGTCATGATAATACCTCAATTTTAATTTTAATTTTACTGTTTAATTAATAATATTAGTTAAATTATGCAAATTACAAATGCACCTAATTATGTAGCTAGTTTTAATCTTACTTCTAATATTTTAAAAGTTCTAATTTTCCAACAATATTCAAATTTGTTGCAAGAGAACAAAAATACTATTGGCAATTTCCATTATAAATGAACCTTTTGGGGCAAAATTAAAACCTATACAAGTTAACGAAGAAAAACTAAAAACAAATTGAATTATACTAAATAGTTGTAGAACGTAAAATTGGTTTCAATTTAATTTGTGCCAAACATTTTTTAAATTTCAATTTTATTAATAGTATTTTAATTACAGTTGGGCATTTTAAGTAAAATTTTGGTTAAAATACTATTTTGATCCCTTTACTTTCCGCTTTAATGAATTTTGGTCTTTGTACTTAACTTTTGTTCATTTTAGATCAGGTACTTTCAAAATGTTCATTTTGATCCCTGTGGTTCTAAAAAGTAACCATTTTGATCCCTATTTGAAAAATTTTAACACAAAATTCTACACTAACAAAGATTCTTTCATATAAAAAATGATTAAATTTCAAGAAATATATTGAGGACAATGTTGTGTTTAAATTGTGATAGAAAAAAATGAGATTAAAAAAAGAAGAGACCAAAATTATTCATTTTTAAAATTACAAGGATTAAAACGAATATTTGTGATATTTTAAAAACACAGGGACCAAAATAAACCAAAGTTAAAAAATAGATACTAAAATGAACATTTTGAAAGTAGGGAGACTAAAATGAACGAAAACTAAAATTACAGAGACCAAAATATTATTTTAACTTAAAAATTTTATCCCATATATTTTTTTAAGTCTAGGGATGGACAACCTATGGTTTTTTTTTTCCTTCTGTAAAGAAATTAAAAGAGGATGATAGACTTGAAACTTTTAGAATGTTAAAGAAAACTAAAAAACTAACCATTTCACCAAATGTTTTAACCATTGCAAGTCATATCAAACTCACATCTCATATGCAGACACGTAAACTAATTTCTCTTCCATAAAAAAAAAGGAATAAAATTATGTCAATTTATTGAATAAGACATACATATATAACTTTACAATGAATGACCCAAATGATTTTGTACCCTAATTTCACATGCAACTTAAGTACATTATCTAACCCAGAAAACAATAACCACAACCAAAACAAAGGAAAGAGGCAACACAACTCACACAAGATACAAGATATTTTACTTACATTTCATGGCAAGTCATGGAAGACTTTCTCCAAGAAATTTTTGAAACGCTTGGCATAAAAACGAGGCTCCACGACCGACATCGAAAGAGGGTCGAATCTTAACGATTTGTATGCATGCTCTACCTTCTTCTTCACATTGTATTCTTGCAGTATATCTATAATGCCCATGTAAAGAACTACGTCGTAAACCTCAAAAAGTTCTACTTCTGAAGACTCTGACTTGTCCTCAATAAGCTTGTGACTAGCATGGGCAGGCATATTTACTCCCAACTGCACACGAAATCTGTGCATGTATAACAAGAAACTGACAGTTAACTATATGCTAGAATATAGCTAACAATTTCACATTATGTGTAACTAAGCACAAGGGCACATCCTCGAGGCCTTAAGTTAACAAATCAATCGAGAGCGTCATTTTGTTTGTTTCTAAGTATTTATAGATTTTTAGTCTCTAACTCTTATTATTATAGAGACATTTAAATTCCATATGAAAAACGTAATCACAAAAGAGAGGTATGTAAAAAAGTAATGTAATCTTCGAGAGGGAAGAAACTTTTTATAGAGACATTTAAATTCAATATGAAAAACATAATCAAAAAAGACATTTTCAATGTTGAATTCGAAGCATCGCAGTAGAACCTAGGAAGCTTAAGACAGTCCATACCCAAGGCTATTGGGTTCAAAAAGAAGCTGAGGTATTAGAATTGGATTGGAATCGCCTAATGGTTGTCTCTAAGGCCTGTTCACATGATGACTGGAAGGCGATCACCAGAGCTATAAAAGAGAAATACACACTTGACTGTGTGATAAATCCCATCATGGTTGATAAGGGTCTTTTGAAGTTCACAGATGATAGATTTCTCAAGCCTTGTGAGCTTTCCGGAAAATGGAGGAGGATAGGGAATTTTCATTTAAAATTAGAAAAGTGGAGCCCTTATTTGCATAACAGAAGCGATTACACTCAAGGTTACGGGGGCTGGTTAACCATTAAGGA